CCAAGGGATGGACGGCCATGACAGCAGACAAGAAGCTGTTGAGCTGGGAGTTCGCAGCTATGAAGTTTGAGGAAGAGCTCAGAGGTTGCATGCCGACATCCAGTAGACAGGACCTTCTTGACAAGTATAATTTCCTAGGACTTCCTGGCACTGGAGACGCCAAAGTTGAGTTGAGCGAACTACACAAGATGAGACTGTACCAATATAAGTTCTTGGTGATGGTGGCCCGAGCAGAAAAAGAGAGCGACCTGCCCCCAACTGCTGCCAGACAAGTCCAGATGATGGCAAGTCTAGCCACCATGAGAGACCAAGACCTGGATCCTTTTCTCAAACAACTAGACGATGTGCCGCTGCGCCTCGAAGCATAGACAGCCATTATAAATACAGGAGTATTTAGGATTTTAGTGGGAAGGGGGAAGTGTAATAGAATCTAAAGTATAAGTATTAAAAACATCATGTAAACTTTGTCAATCACAAGTGTCACCTATTTTCGTTATATCACGATCTATCTGCAAATGTCCATCCATATTTTTAACATTAAAGTAAATAACAACCTAACAACATCATAGACAGTTACCTGGTTCTGAAGTTCACAGATCTGAGGCGTCTTTAAGGGGGGCATATTCACTGTTGATAGTTGTTTTATCAAGCACTGAACGTTCGCGGTAGCAGCACTTGTCAGACATGACCTAATTACCACTGAGTGTCACTACGCTATTTACATCCATGAAGGATTCTACTACTGATGTCATTGTGTGTACTATTATTGTACAGACTTATGTATTCCATGTCTCCAAATGATATATTTATTCACTGTCTTGAATCATTGTGTATTTTGAGTGTTAACACCGATGTTTGTCAGGGACTATTTCTTGTGTACACTCCTGCTTCGTGGCTATTTATAGAAAGTAAGTGTGACTTTTGACCCAGATAAACAATGACTTATTACACTTGTTAATGACGATTTTCTGATAACTTTCTTGCTCAGAAGTGTTTTAAAGTGTATTCCATGATGGATACTAATGAAAATTACACTTGATTGAACTGAATAACGAATTTGATCTGTTTGACATTTCTCGGGTTACGGTGACCTGTCAACAACATTTACGTTAGGCTGAGTGACTAATTATAAATTCGATGTCCGTTTTTATATCAAAGCCACATATTCATTATCTGGTATTTTCCTGCATTCTATGGTAGAAATGCCTTGCTTTACGATATAGAGGACAATGTATAACCACCTGTATTTCCGACATTTGTACCTGCAATATGACAGTCGTTTCGTGTGTTGACATTTGTTGCCGACAATCATTCTAGGCACTAATTGACAGTCTGCTGTCCGTTTTCTCTGTTTGCATTTACCAAATATTTTAGCAATCTTGTTAGTGTCCGAATTGTTAAAGGACACATAGGACAACATCAATTCCTGGATACAGGGCATATTGATGCTACACTGGGCCAAAGTTGTCAATGGTCTTAGTATACATTTGACGTCTGTCAAAATGTCGTCCCGCCGCTTGGCCTGAATATAATCGTTGTCCCTATTCTTGTTATACAACATGTTTACACAAATCTCACTTGTCCATCATGGTTGATCTTTTCGGACACTTTATTTAACATAAGGACAATACCATATGATAAAGGAAACTGATGCTTTTGTAAATTTCACTTGTCATAGAGCCGACCACAAACCAAGATGGCGGCCACTGACGCTACGTTGACGGAAAGATATTGTCCGTTTTATTATAACAAACTGTCTCGATGTCCTGATTATTTCTACTGTGTCCTAATTGTATTCGGACAAGAAGAACAACATAAGGACAATTAGTAGTCACTTACTTGTGTTAGAAATGAAACTGCCTAGGCAGCGTTTCTTGTATGCAAGCCATCAAACCTGTGTTCTGATTGGTTGAGAAAGGTCACATGACCTCCTGATGATGCCTATAAATACGATCACTGGTCAAGGCCTGACACTCGATTCACACACTCGACTCGGACTCGATTCGGATTCGATTCACTCGGGTCACTCGATTTAGATACAATAAGACTTTCGGTCTGATTAAAGGCTCCTGCTCTAGTTTTACCTGGCACCTCTACTGACTTAGATTTATCATCATAACTGCTTCTAGGTATATATTTTAAGACAAATTACAATCAATTTAATAACTATATTACATACTCAGTAACATTTCTGCTAGATATTTGAGTTGAAATAACAAAATAACTATTTCCTTGGAGACTGAGCCTTGCCATTAGATATAGATATATATAGGCCGAGTAGTGTGTGATATTTATTGGCATCATTTATTTTATTGCATTGCTAACAAAATCCCATCTACATTCTTGCCATTGAAACAAAATTAAAACACAGTTTGCATATATCCCGGCAAACTTTGCTCTCTACTTCATCGTCTCCTTGTGTTATTTGTTTTCCCATGTGCACCCCAAGGGTGTTACAATATTGAAGGCCAAGTGCTCAATTTAATTGGTGATGTGTACTCCAAAACATCAGCTCTGCAGTTTTGACTTTCATCGACATTAAACTTAGAAATGGATTTTCAAGGTTGAAAATCGAAATTCGTTTTTTAAAATGTTAGATTCTCAACTATTGCCTTTCTTTTCTATCTATTCGAGATGTTGGATTGTCATATATAGGAGGTATTAGATATATTGCTTAAAGCGGCGTAAAATTAAACTCACTCACTCATGGCTCGCTTATTCTTGTTAAGTGGAAACACCGTGTTACTGTCTTGGGCGCTACCTTTGAAGGGAGCAAAACATAAGACAGTTATCATTACTTTTGTATTTACCTCCAATACCACCACTGCAATAGTGTTTACTATAAGCATTAAGCTGAACTTACTTTGATCAATATTGTACCAGCTGTATAATGGCAACGTAGTGATTTTCTTTACGTAGACAGGGAACACACATCAGTAACAAAACCTATTAATTCATGAATCTCCTCGCAGAAATACGTTCAGTACCTTTTTATGCTATCATACACACCACAGATGATTTCGTTATTACATTGTTTTGTTTACATGCTAGAATCTCACAATGATCTACCATCATCGGCGTGGGGTTTGTACGAAAATGAAAAACGCAGACATGCGAAACCTAAGGGAAACTTTCTTTAATTCATTCGGGAAATGATCCAGGTTAGATTCGGTCTTCAGCAGTGACTGGGTGGTCAGGCTTGCTGACGTGGTTGACACATGCCATTGTATCCCAAATATGTAAATTGATGCCTATAACGTCAATCACCGGATTGTCTGGTCCAGCTTATTTATAGACCACCGTCATATATATGCTGAGTGCGGCGTTAAACAACAACGATTTGTTATAAAACCCGGTGAATATAGATACAGTTACATATCCCTCTCTTCAGAAGTTCAAAAATAAAAACAAAATGCTATCTGGAGTTTATTGAGAAAAGAAAATCTGAAATACTTATCTCGTAACATTTATGTACATTTTAGAGGCAAGACATTTTGACAAGAATCTGTAGTACTCCCTTTCTTGTTGATCTGTTGCATTATACAGTATGAATCGGATTCTCAAAGTCAAACGAAGGTTATTTGTCCAAGATGTTCAACTTCACCTTCAGGTTAAGTCCCTTCCAATGATCTACCTGTCTAAACTAGAAACAAAGGAGGACAAAGGAGTGGAAAAGAATATTGACAATACCCAAGACAGTGTGGCATGGGTGATGATTTCAACTTTTCTTTTGTGTCCTAAAATATTTAGAAGTTACACTTCACACCTGTGTACGAGTGAACAAGTTCTTTTCGACTCTTGCTGAGCAGTTGGTTGATTAATGTTACAACATAAAAGACCTCAGATAAACTTTCAAAACGGTTTTAGACAGCCATGAGGAGGACATTTCCAAATCTGAAGCATCAGTGACAGAAAATGAACGATGAAATTCCTTATTTTGACTCATACAAAATGGCTGCGCTTTTTTTTGGTGTTTTTTCAAGGGAACAATTGCCTTGCCTTTGCACGTGCTTCTGACGAGTTACACCAGCGACCCGGATCCCCTCACCTTTTCGCAATGGACCTTGTCAATCATTACCAATAACGGTTTAAAGTTCAAGTAAATCAATTTATCGATACGAAGCAGGCATCTAAATAGGAAGTATGACAAATGTAGTACATATAGCTGCTCTCTGTTTCAGATACAAAATATGACTGACCGATCTTCGCCAAGATTTCGGGTTCAAACTGTCCCCTAGTAACCAATTCGTGTTGATGGGTGGAATTAACTGGAATATTGTTGGCTAGGGCATTATACTTGCGGCATAAAGCAACATTCACTTGAGTCATGAGAGTATGCATACCCCGCTCGAGGCCAGTACGTACACACACCTGAAAGTTGGACAGAACTTCATGCAGGGGCTGCAATGGACTCCAGATGGTGCAATGGGCAATGAGCCCTTCAACGACAACTGAATACCGTTGTCACAGACTAATGACAATATAATAACATATACGGCTTTATGAGATGAGAATATTTCCCGTCAAAGGCATTTCGATTTCAAAACCAAATAATTATGAGCAATTCTTGTGGATATTATTGTAACGGGGATGGCTTTGTGTCCACAACAACACAACTCCGTTGAGGCTGTAAGTCTGTTTATTATTTTCGGTAGTTGTTTTACACAAAGTGTACACAAATCTGAAATAATACATGTATACATAGCGCTCAGCCAAAATATCTACTCCATTAAATTCAGTTCATGTCATTGCAAATATGGCTTTATGAATACCATTATTACCGCTGAACATATACAACAAACTCAAAACAAATGGACATCACAAAACTAATAGTTCCGTTACATATTCAAATCCTTGGGAGTGCAATTAGTGAATATATATAGCATCTTCAAAATAACCATGAGTGAGTGTGTGGGTATGGTTTTACGCCGCTTTTAGCAATATTTCAGCACTATCGCAGCGGGGGACACCAGAAATGTTCTTCACACATTGTACCCATGTGGGGAATGGAACCCGGGACTTCAGCGTGAAGAGTGGACGCTTTAACCATGAGACTACCCCACCGCCCCCAAACGACCATGACACATCTCAGCGTGTCTTACCATCTATGGGACAACTTGCATCAAACTTGCCTCATGTTGTGAAACATCAACGTGCACCAAGCACCAGCCAAGGACTGAATATAGTATGCCTTAATTAGCATGGAAATGATAATTCTAACCAGTAAAGTAAATGTACAGTATGTTTGGACTCAAACATAAATCTGAATAAATTGCAAGTGAAATTATTGACACCAACAACTTCTAACTATAAGTCAAAGTATACCTCCACCAAATGGATAAATACAGCTATGACCAAGGACCAACCAAGGACTGAATATAGTATGCCTTAATTAGCATGGAAATGATAATTCTAACCAGTAAAGTAAATGTACAGTATGTTTGGACTCAAACATAAATCTGAATCAATTGCAAGTGAAATTATTGACACCACCTTCTAACTATAAGTCAAAGTATACCTCCACCAAATGCATAAATACAGCTATGATGAATATTGAATTAAACTTTCAAAAATTAGACATATTTTTGTATTTTAATTTCATTTTTTTATGAAACCAAGTGAAACTAACCTGTAATTCGCCAATTCAAAATCCTCCTCTATGACCTTTTAACCACCGTGCCAGATTGGGAGAAAAACAGCTAGTGAACAAACTCCACACTTTCCTAATGCATCTAACTTCAACATGTTGGACATCTTCAGCCAATGAAAGCCAGGGGCAAGACATCAGACCTGACCTCATTGAGAGTTGGCTAATTTGCATAGGAACTACTTTTGACCCTTGACCCAGTGTTGGCTGTAAATAAATCATGGACTTGTGGAAATATAAACCTTTTTACTGACTGTTGAATTTTTGTTTAAGGTGTTATGAATTGATTACAAACAGGCAAATCAGACAAGACATATTAAAAAAGATTATTTCCGTTTATCATTTACGGTAGTTGCTTGACACAAAGCCTATACACATCTGAAATAATATATGCATATGTAGTGCTCAGTCAAAATATCTATTCCATTTAAATACAGTTCATCTCATTGCACATTGGCTTTATGAATACCACTGGTTTACAACAAATAACAATGCTTAAGTTCATTGTCTTCATGGTGTAAATAATTTGTGTATCTGTTAATCATAAACTAACCAGTCTCTTTGCACCTGCCCAAAACCGATGAATTATGCAAATATTCACTTTGAATGGATCCACTTCAAAGCAGTTCGATGATTTACATTGGTCTAGCATAAATCTTTTTCTGTACGTCAAATCTACTAACATGCAAATATCAGTCTATGTCAACAAAATTATAGATTATCAATACATCAACAATCAGCATTTAACAGTCCGTAATGGTTGTCTGTCGCCTTGACAGTTTTGCCATTCTCAGTTCCACAAACTACAGTCAGTCCAGAGATTACAGCCATCTGAACACCTAGGTTTGTCACTGACAGATCCACAAACTACTGTCAGTCCAGAGATTACAGCCATCTGAACACCTAGGTTTGTCACTGACAGATCCACAGGCTACAGTCACGTACGGGTGCCTGTTGCCTTGACAACACGTATCCAACTGAACACCTACTTTTCCTACTGGCAGATCCGCAGATTACCATTATTGTTGATTGTTGCCTTGTCAACATGTATCCAACTGGACAACAGGACAACTAGTTTCGATATATTCACAGAGTCAGTCATTGGTCGACAATGTCATCATGGCCCGATCTCACGGACGGCCTCTTCAGGTACAGGTGCTTTCTAAGTTGCGACTGGAACATAGGCATCTGTTTAAATGACCCTTTAAATTTCATAGCGGCAACCTTCTCGTTTACCACGGTCAGAATATCCACAATGTGATTTTCAGGAAAATCCCGAATTGTCTCGCACAGTGTCTGTATAAACGGAGAACCCATTTTGGAATTGCGGTACGCAATGAATCCTTTACTGGTAGCATATGCAATTAAAAAGTCTCCAACCATTGGCACAGTAGTCCTCTCTCGAGTGTCCGCAAGACCTGTTCCATCGCACTGATCGGTTGCCGACGGATTAACCTTAGACCCCTGACATGCCTGAATTATGAACAGCTTGGGTTTGCCGGTTAGACCGGGACAATTCTGGGCACAAAACAGAGATGTTAACTCTTCAATTTCGATAGTCAGGCCGTCTACTCCACAAATGGTGTTCTCTGACCCATGAGACATGATGAAACACACAAACATGCTGTACGATGTATAATCCAGCTTAGATATATGGATCATGTCTTCCAGTAGTGTTGAAATGTCTTTGTTCTTCACTTGTCCCATATCAAATCCAAGTGGTCGAAATGTTGTTTCGATCATAATAACGTCCTTGTCAGCGCCGTGTCGATCTGCTGCGTTGTCAAACGTGTCGTTGTTAACAATAACACACAAACCAGCTTGAACTCCCACTGGATAGGTTTGAACTTCCAAGCGGCGATCCCGACTCCTAGTGGGCACGTCTAAATATGGTGGACTACTGTTGATTACAAAACTGGAGCCCAAGACATCCCCAAGAACATCAACCAGCATTTTATGTATGTTATGTCCATCTTTAGCTGATACCATCAAGTGGCGCTTCACTGGCTGTCGCTTGGTAGTGATAGGATCCATTAACTGAACGTTGTCTCTGTCTACCCTGTCACTTTTGTTTCCCAATAGATAGGTTTTTCCTCCCTTCAAATAACGCCACCGCGTTATCCTTGGAGCTCTCTCGAAGATAGTTGTTTCCTCTATGTCATAAAACAGTAAATATGCATCTGCCCTACAGTATTTAATGGCGATAAGAGCTCTATGGGACTTCCAACTTCTGTATTCTCTGATGTTTAGAAGAACTGGAATTCCAATAAGCTTTTCCAGATCCAATTCCACAACGTAACACTTCTTACTAATTTTCAGCTTTCTGAAGTCTACTGTATTAGCCAGTTGCCGTATGAAAAGAGACTTGCCCGATCCTTTATCCCCGAGAACATGCAGGTCCACAGTCCTTTGAGCTTTGGCCATCACGATTATGCAATATCTTCTTGGCTCTACAAGATAACAGTCAGATAGTACACAACAGGGTGACAGCATGGTCAGTTCAATGTGTTTTACATCACAAATGGTCAATTAATCCAAGGTTATCATTACTCTAGATTGCTTTTCCATCCAAATATATTTGACAGAGATACACAGGATGAGAGACACTCAATAGTGGTTATTTCCCAAGAGCAAGGCTTACGTGACTCCCGCCCAACATCAGGGATATCCAAGTACACTCAATATTCAAAACATATTGAAAACAATATCATTGCAGAGGTTAAAATCACATTGCAATACATACATGGCTATACACCATAAACAAGACGCATTGATTTATGGCCCGAGTTCGGTCCCTGTCACATTATGTAATTACACGGACAGGCAGGTGTGATACTTGTACACATGACATGTTATGATGTCTGTTGATAGCAAAAAGTTCTGCACACAAAAAACGAGCATGTATTTACAAAACCCAACATCTCTTTATATACACACACACAATGAGCCGTGGGGGAATATGCAAATGAACCAGCCGTTACACTTGAGTGCGCACCCACCCACTCTGACTGGGTTCGGTATCCCGGCTGCTTCGTTTCGAGGGAAGTAAACCCAAGTACAAAATATTGCACTTTTGTTTTGCGATTGTACGCTTATGTTTTTTCATAATCAGCAATGTATATTATATGTCATGAATAAGTGATAATTGTGTTTTAATTATTTTTGATTTTTTTGGTTGCATGTGACCTTTAATCTATTGCCTCTGGTACATGTGTTATCTTCCCTGACATTGTATGCGAGTACAACTAACTTATGTATTCATCGGAATGAAGTCTTGAGGAGCTATTTCACCTGGACAAACGGCTGGTTATTATTCTTAGTAGTGAATGTCACTGAACATTAAACAATATGTCCTTCACATAATTTGCAGTTGTGTTCTGAAAACATTTACAGAGAGAGAGAGAGAGAGATATTATTAGGCGTGTATGTATGTATGTATGTATGTATGTATGTATGTATGTATGTATGTATGTATGTATGTATGCATGTATGTATGTATGTATGGTATGTATGTACGTGTGTACGTGTGTACGTGTGTGTGTATGTATGTATGTATGTATGTATGTATGTATGTATGTGTGTGTATGTATGTATGTATGTACGTGTGTATTTCTGTATGTATTTCTGTATGTGTGTATGTATGTATGTATGCATGCATGCATGTATGTATTATGTGAGGTTGTATGGCTGTTTTGTATTTGTGATTATATGTTTGTTAGTATGTATGTTTGTTTGTATGCATACCTGTGCGTGTTAACTTATATGAATATGATTTTACGTGAGTAGATACTGTTGGTTAAGTTGGTCTACAATGTTTTTATTGGTTTTAAATAGTCCCTCATAACCTAACGGGTAGTTTCTGTAAACTTTTGTACAAAAAGCTTGCATTTTATGACAATGTACAGAAAGTGAGACTCAAATAAACATACTCTTCTCTCTCTTCTCTCTCCTCTCATCTCTTCTCTCTCTCTCTCTTCTCTCTCTTTCTCTCTCTCTCTCTCTCTCTTCTCTCTCTCTCTCTCTCTCTCTCTCTCTCTCTCTCTCTCTCTCTCTCTCTCTCTCTCTCTTCAATAAGCAGTGAAGAAGAATGACTTAATGTATGCTTGCAACCAACTAGTATTGTGGATATATGACTAACCTGCTTGATGACTCTTTGTTCACTTCCTTATTCCTCCTTTCGGGTTTGGCCCCCTTTTATCCAGTGGCTACTTAGCGACGTCTTGCTGACAACTTCAAAAAAAGAAGCCGGAATAATTATTTGATATCCAACATTATGAGCAATTATTGAAACGTACTTTTCAGCATTAACCCTGTACCATTCTACATTATCCACTGAAACGTAAAACCTTCCCCAAATTTCAGTTAAATGCTCGCATATTTTTGACTTCTTGGTCTGATTTCCACAGCACCCGTTTGTATATCCCATTTCGCCCCAAGGTGTTGTAATGTGAGCAAAATGTTGTCCATTATGAAATGTCGGGCGCTGGCTAGGTCAAGTTGTTTGCACACAAAGGAGCATGTCTAACCATCAACCAACAAAAAGCTTATACGTTATTGCTTGTGGTCTATGGTTCCCAGTCTACTATGTTTTGCAGTTACAACCAACACTTATTTTGATGCCTCTCCAGCCAAACAAAATCGGGGAGTTACCTGTTCCATTCAATAATGTGAAGGGCTACTGGGGTAAAACAAATGTCAAAAAGTATTTAACTCACGAAACAGGTGTAAATTCTATCCACTAAATGTCAGGTATTCCGAAGAGTTGTTGACTGAAATGGAGGCTTGGTTGAAACACGCAACACTGCACCACTGATCAAGCTATCAATAGGGCCTGATGCATTGATGTATTTTCGAAAAAGAAAAATCAACGGGAACATTTCTGAGAAATGTTCGTAGCTGCATATTAGGTCATGATGGCCCAACCATGCGAATAGCAAAGTCCTTTTGTGCACTCACGGCTTAAACGGACCCGGACATAAAACCGGTGCATGACTAAGTGTATTACAACGTACAGGTACGAACACTGGAAAGATCAAGTGACTGCAGGCTTTCAAATAAACTAATGTGCCTCTAATCCCATAACGTTAAACGCCATTATGCCACCACTGCGGCAGGAACACAGTCTTGTACCATAATAACCCGTTTGCTATTTGCCACCAAACAGACTTCTAATAACCACCCAGTAGGCTTCTATTAACCACTCAGCAGGCTTCTATTAACCACTCAGCAGTCTTCTATTTACCACTCAGTAGGCTTCTATTAACCACTCAGCAGGCTTCTATTAACCACTCAGTAGACTTCTATTTACCACTCAGAAGGCTTCTATTAACCACACAGAAGGCTTCTATTAACCACTCAGTAGACTTCTATTAACCACTCAGAAGACTTCTATTAACCACTCAGAGACTTCTATTAACCACTCAGAAGGCTTCTATTAACCACTCAGCAGACTTCTATTAACCACTCAGAAGGCTTCTATTAACCACTCAGAAGGCTTCTATTAACCACTCAGCAGACTTCTATTAACCACTCAGCAGACTTCTATTAACCACTCAGCAGACTTCTATTAACCACTCAGCAGACTTCTATTAACCAGTCAGCAGACTTTAATTAACCACTCAGAAGGCTTCTATTGACCACTCAGCAGACTTCTATTAACCACTCAGTAGACTTCTATTAACCACACAGAAGGCTTCTATTAACCACTCAGTAGGATTCTATAAACCACTCAGTAGACTTTTATTAACCACTCAGTAGACTTCTATTAACCACACAGAAGGCTTCTATTAACCACACAGAAGGCTTCTATTAACCACTCAGCAGACTTTTATTAACCACACAGAAGGCTTCTATTAACCACTCAGAAGGCTTCTATTAACCACTCAGCAGACTTCTATTAACCACTCAGCAGACTTCAATTAACCACTCAGAAGGCTTCTATTAACCACCCAGAAGGTTTCTATTTACCACTCAGCAGACTTCTATTAACCACTCTGTTACAAAGTCCTTTTAAGACCAAAATGGTCATTTACTTTATCTATGATTCTTATTTCGTTTTAGCATGCCAATTCCGTTTCAACCTACATTTTGCATCATTCCAACTTTTAGGATCCAATATGGCGGCACCCATGTGGTGCATGCCTCTGTTGTACCCTTCACCAGAATACAAAGTTAATGGTACCTGACCTTGTTGGTTTTCCTTTGAACCACAGAACAAGTCTAACCTGGTCCCGTGCATACCTGCACCGTGTTTTCATGGTCCCGCGAGGCGGATATAAAGTGGAAAATGGCATCAAAGGAGCACACCTCTCAAGATCCAATAGCACCGGTAAGACAGTCACAGAGGGAAAGTAAACTACCCTTGCACCTCAGGGAGGACTATGTGTTATCAAACCCCCCTATGGATGTTGATAAGGAAGTTGCTGTAACAGAAGCAAACAAATCTGTGACTCAAAGAAGCAGAAAGTCAGTAGAGTCATCGAAATCAGTGAATAGAAGTGGAAGAAATAAGAAATCAGAAAATTCAAAATCCACAATATCTGACCACAGCTCTGTATGTAGCAGAACTTCCCAAGGATCAATAAGATCTGTGACCTCACAGCTGTCAGACAAGCAAACTGCAAGGTTAGAAAAACTAAAGAAATTATCCAAACTAGAGGAATTGCAAAGAAGATTTGAGGAGGATATCCTCACACAGGAGGAATTAACAAGATGTGACGACATAGCACGAAAGGCACAGGAAGAGGCTGAAATGGAAATTCTAAAGACGCAGAGGAGGGCTCATGAGATAGAACGCGAAGCCCAACGAGAACGAGAGCGACTAGGAACCAAGATCACCCACTTAAGGAGAATTCGGGAAGTGGAAGCCGGATTAAAAGAGGCAAGTTTCATTGACTGTATGATAAATGAAGATTCCCCTGTTGTGATGAGCACCACTTCCATCTCCCAGTGCTGTCCACACTTCCGTCCAGACATCCTCCAGTGTACTAGCTCCCAGTGCTGTCCACACTTCCGTCCAGACACCCTCCAGTGTACTAGCTCCCAGTGCTGTCCACACTTCCGTCCAGACACTTCCAGTGTACCAGCTCCCAGTGCTGTCCACACTTCCGTCCAGACACCCTCCAGTGTACCAGCTCCCAGCGCTGTCCACACTTCCGTCCAGACACCCTCCAGTGTACCAGCTCCCAGCGCTGTCCACACTTCCGTCCAGACATCCTCCAGTGTACCAGCTCCCAGTGCTGTCCACACTTCCATCCAGACACCCTCCAGTGTACCAGCTCCCAGTGCTGTCCACACTTCCGTCCAGACACCCTCCAGTGTACCAGCTCCCAGTGCTGTCCACACTTCCGTCCAGACACCCTCCAGTGTACCAGCTCCCAGTGCTGTCCACACTTCCGTCCAGACACCCTCCAGTGTACCAGCTCCCAGCGCTGTCCACACTTCCGTCCAGACACCCTCCAGTGTACCAGCTCCCAGCGCTGTCCACACTTCCGTCCAGACATCCTCCAGTGTACCAGCTCCCAGTGCTGTCCACACTTCCGTCCAGACACCCTCCAGTGTACCAGCTCCCAGTGCTGTCCACACTTCCGTCCAGACATCCTCCAGTGTACCAGCTCCCAGCGCTGTTCACTCTTCCGTCCAGATATCCTCCAGTGTACCAGCTTCCAGTGCTGTCCATACACCAGTCATGATGTCTCCCGGTGTGGTCCACTCTCCCATCATGATGTCCTCTGGGATACCAGGTCCTGATGCGATTGACACTCATGTCTTGATGCCATCAAGCATACCAGCAGCCATGTCAGCCCAGACATCGTTTGCAAACTTTATTGACCAAGCATCACCAAGAATACACAACTACCCTTATCAACCATGTTACTCACAACCAAACTGTGCTGATCCACATTATGAAACCCACAGGCAGAATTTGATAAACTCTAATTCAACCTTGAGTGACACTGTGAATGTTAATCCAATTCCCTATGACTTCCACCCTGTCAACCCACAAGTGACACCAACCATGTCTCAACTATTCATTCCAAGGCCAAACCTACCTAACTTCAATAGTGGAAAGGAAAGGGATTTTGCCCTACTGAAGATAGCCCTGGATAATCTGGTAAGCGTCCATCCAGGCTTGACCGAGCAACACAAATATCAAATTCTACTGGACAGGCTTGGAGGTCCACCTAAGAGACTAGCTTCAGCATTCATGCACGACGAGAGGCCCTTCTCAACCACACTCCAAGCATTGAAGGAGAGATATGGACAGCCACGTCAGCTTGTTCAGAGTGAATTAGGAGCCCTTATGGGAACACCTGTACTGAGGTACGGGGATCTCGATGCATTTGACAGTTTTGCTCTCTCCGTACGTTCTTTAGTAGGAATGCTGAAGTCAGTGGAAAGTGGAAATGGATCTGAGCTTAAATGCAGTTCGCATGACCCCAAGAGAGAATTGGAAGCCTCCACCGCCTCGGTTGGGCAATAGACAACCTAATCCAACAGCTTTATTCCTGACCAGGGAGGCCAAGACTTCATCTGTGAATAGAGCTAAGCCATTTTGCCCATATTGTATTAGTGGGGACCACTTCCTGAATGGGTGTCCTGAATTCAAGAAGCTGTCATTAAGTGAGATTTCCAAGTGGCTGGGTCAAAACAGATGCAGCAGGTGTGGCCGAAACCACAAAGAAAGGGAATGCACCTTGAGAAAGCCGTGTCACATTTGTAAGCAGTTGCATCTAACAGTCTTACATGATGCCCTTCAGCAGACATCATCCAAAGTTTACTACATGGATCAACCATCACATCCTGCACTCATTATGTTAAAGATTGTGCCAGTAATCCTACATGGTCCCTGCAGCACAGTATCGACATACGCAATCCTTGATGATGGATCTATGCGAACCATGATATTGAAATCAACGGCTCAGCAGCTTCAACTCACTGGGAAGCAGGATTCCATTCTCCTTACAACAATAAGTCAAGAATCAGTGCACTGTAGTGGACAATCTGTGAAACTCCAGATTTCGTCAGCAGACCAGCCAGCCACTAGGTTTGACATCGACAATGCCTTCACTGCAGACAATCTATGCATGTCAGAGTACACATATCCCATAGAGAATATGCAGCAGCACTGGACTCATCTGGAAAACCTTCCTCTACCAAAGATAAATGGAGCAGTGCCAAGTATTCTGATAGGATCCGACAACTCAAAGCTGATCTTGCCTAAAGAGCCAGTATGCTTTGGTAATTCAGATGCTCCTAGTGGTGTCCACACCAACCTTGGCTGGACTGTCCAAGGTCCGTCGATGATGCTAGGGCAGACGAAGAGGAACACTTGTCTGCTGAACCAGACTCGACCAGCTGAGCTCTCGCCATCTCACTGTGTGGAGAGACTTTGGCAATTGGACACTCTTCCCTTTACGAGTAAACAGGTCATTCGCTCCAAACAGGACAAGATGGCACTGGAAATACTAGATTCTCAGACCACAAGAATTGAGGTGGATGGCGTAAGTCACTACGCAACCCCACTCTTACGCTCTCATGATGGTACCCGTTTCAATGCCAGGGTGGAAGCTGTTCTCCCAACTCTGAAGCGTACTGAACGACGACTAAAGGACAATTCTGATATGGCCAGAACGCACAATGAGGCTATTCGAAGCTTGATGAATCTGGATTTGTGAAAAACTCACTGATGACGAGATAAGAGATTCGAAAGAGTCCTGGTACATCCCTCACCATGTGGTTGAACATAACGGAAAACATCGCCTTGTGTTCAATTGTTCATTCGAGTTTGAATCTAAAAATCTTAACAATCACTTGTTAGCAGGCCCTACCATTGGATCATCACTTCTAGGAGTGCTTCTCCGGTTCCGACAGCATGCAGTGGCAGTAACTGCCGACATCAAAGCTATGTTCCACCAAATCAGACTGCTTCCACCTGATCGACCCTTTGCTTCGTTTCCTGTGGCGAGACATGCAATGCGATCGTCCACCAGACGTGTATGAATGGCAAGTTCTGCCCTTTGGTACTACCTGCTCCCCCTGCTGCGCAAGCTATGCACTGTTGAAACATGCAGCTGAAAACCAGACAGGCAATGAGGAAGTGTTCAAATCAGTGAGTGAATCCTTCTATGTAGATAACTGTTTGGACAGTTTCGAGAACCAAACTCAGGCAAAGCAGCTTGTCACCAAGATGCGAAATGTGCTCACAGACGGTGGATTCAACATAAGACAGTGGGCAAGTAATGTTCCTGAGGTTGTCGCCGATCTCCCCTGCTGAAGCGAGGTCCGAGGCCGCAGACCTGTGGCTCAACTTTGGACAGGGTGAACCTAGAGAACCGACTTTGGGCTTACGCTGGGACTGTCAGTCAGATGAACTTACCTACAAACACAGAAATGTAGACTACCCCAATTTAACCATGAGAATGGTATACAAAGTGCTAGCAAGCCAATATGACCCCATCGGGTATCTGTCACCGTTCATTGGACAAGCTAAAGGTCATAGTACAAGACTTATGGAAGTCAAAGAGAAACTGGAACGATTCCATTGAAAATGGGCAACTTCGTGACAGGTGGCTTGCTTGGGAAAGTGAGCTGGGACTCATCCCTCTGATTACTCTACCAAGGTGTTATATTCCTCTCAAGGGTTTGATCCAGACGATTCAACTACACAATTACACATCTTCTGTGACGCATCCGAAAGGGTATATGGATCAGTCGCCTATTTGCGCTCAGAAGATCGACATGGAAGGGTTCATGTCAGCTTCGTGATGTCCAGATCCAAGGTTGCACCGAAGAGACAGTTAACCATACCACGGCTAGAGCTGTGTGCAGCTCTGACAGGTGCTCAGTTAGCAGACCTGCTGCAGTGTGAAATAAAGCTACCAATCCAAGCTACTTATCTATGGAGTGACTCTACTACTGTGCTCACATGGTTGCAGTCTGAATCTTGCAGATACAAGGTATTCGTTGGAGCCAGAGTAGCTGAAATTCAGAACCTCACCGACACACATTGCTGGAGGTATGTGAACACACAGCAAAACCCAGCTGATGATATCACTCGAGGCCTGAGTGTCAAAGACCTTGTTGAAGAATCCAGATGGAGAAATGGACCTGCCTTCCTCCGACAGTCAGCAGATGAATGGCCTGAATCTCCATCAACAGGCAGTGACGAGCCAGCAGAACTTAGGAAATCTGCCATGTTGTCAACGATTGTGACACAGACACCCACTTTGCCTGACCCAACACAGTATGAATCATGGGAAGTATTCATCTCTGATGTAAATGAAGCCCTTGACGGGGCGGCCCCTAAAGAGGAAACTAAGACACTGACTCCTGAACATGTTGAGCAAACTGAGAACTATCTGTACTGCCAAGTACAACAACAGTGCTTCTCAAAGGACTTTGATTGCCTCAAGTCTGGTAAGCAATTACCACACGATAGTCGACTGATTCAACTTGATCCTGAATACGATCCAGAACTTGACTTGATCCGTGTAGGCGGCAGACTCCGTCGAGCTGAATCCCTGGATTCGAATATTAAGAATCCCATAGTTCTTGATCCAACCCACGAGATCACCAAACTGATTATCAGAGATCATGACGAGAAACTCTTGCATTACGGTCCGGAACATCTCTTTGCCGAGATCCGACGCAGATTCTGGGTCCTCCGGGGCAGAGAGGCCATACGACGACATCAACGTAAGTGTGCTACCTGCCAGAAGTGGCGTTCAAACCCTGCAACTCAGAAGATGGCCGACCTACCACCGGCCCGTCTCCGACTCTTCAAACCAGCCTTTTACTCGACTGGAGTAGACTGTTTTGGCCCGATGCAGGTGAAGATAGGACGTCGTTTAGAGAAACGATGGGGAGTGATTTTTAAGTGTATGACTACCCGAGCAGTGCACCTAGACCTCCTTGAGTCTATGGATTCAGATGCTTTCCTCATGGCGTTCCGCCGCTTTGTATCCCGAAGGGGTAAACCTCATGAACTCTTGTCAGACCAGGGCACCAACTTCAAAGGTGCTAAATCAGAATTACAGAACGCATGGTCTGAAATGGAACCAGAACTACGTCACTACCTTGTCAACCAAAAGGTAGAATTTGTGTTCAACCCTCCAAGTGCACCCCATCATGGAGGCGTGTGGGAGAGGGAGATCAGATCAGTCAAACATGGCCTCAGAGTGTCACTTGGTCAACAGACTGTTACCGAAGCAACCTTGCGCACTGTCTTGTGCGAAGTCGAAGGCATTCTCAACTCGAAGCCACTTTCCTACGTGTCATCAGATGCTAGAGATTTGGACCCAATCACACCCAACATTCTCCTAATGGGGCGGCATGACACATCTTTACCTCAGGTTGTGTATCCTGCGGAGCCAACTCCTAAGCCGGAAGAGATGGAGGCACATCAAGGTCCTAGCGGACCACTTCTGGACCCACTTCATAAAATCCTATCTGCCCGACATGCAGCTACGGAGCAAATGGCAGAAACCAAGAGTCAACATCCAGGAAGGAGATGTCATCATGATTGTTGACAATCAGTCAATCCGTGCCCAGTGGCCAGTGGACGTGTGACCCAGACTCACCCAGGACAAGATGGTCATGTTCGGACAGCCACAGTAACTGTTAAGAACAAGGACTATACGAGGCCTGTGGCCAAACTCGTCCCTCTGCCAGAATGTCCAGTGGACCCAAATGACACTTGACTTACTATTTCAATTCCTAGGAACTATTCCAGAACGTTCTAAGGACTTTTCTTATTTCAAATTTAATGCTTAAATTTTGGGGCGGCTGTTACAAACTCCTTTTAAGACCAAAATGGTCATTTACTTTATCTATGAATCTTATTTCGTTTTTAGCATGCCACCCGTTTCAACCTACATTTTGCATCATTCCAACTTTTGGGAACCAATATGGCGGCACCCATGTGGTGCATGCCTCTGTTGTTCCCTTCACCAGAATATACAAAGTTATTGGTACCTGACCTTGTTGGTTTTCCTTTGAACCACTGAACATGTCTAACCTGGTCCCGTGCATACCTGCACCGTGTTTTCCATTGTCTTTATGGCAAAATATGCGATTTTCACATGTTTTGGTCACTTCAGATGTGTGTGGTGATGATATATGAATATGGCTTAAAAAGAATGTGTTATTAAGCAAGTAGTATGGTAGCAGCACATATCCGGTGGTGACGTAACGTGACGGAACCCCGAAAATATGCTGCTACACTGACGTCATACACGTATGACGTCACGACGATAGGTCTCGTGACGTCACGATCTACAAACGAAGGTATTGACGTCACTTGATGGTGACGCAACCTGGAAAATATACTACCATTAATTGACGTCATACACGCGTATGACGTGTCACGACGATAGGTCTCGTGACGTCACGACCTTACAACGACGGTATTGACGTCACGTGGTCATTGAACTGTCAGCAAAATAAGGGTAATGGTCGTTTAGTACGTGTTCGTTACATGTACGTGTGTGTGTGTGTGTGTGCGCGCGCGCATGTGACATCTACTAATGACGTCACACAGACCAAAATGATAACCATAAGAATCCATCCGTCAAGCTAAATTCTCAATTGCTCTCAGACGCGTTTTTACCTCTTAAATGCACCATTAGCGTGCCAATAATATTTGAGTTTTTGGAAGGATAGGCTAGGGAATCTCGTGCTGTCTGTGTAAAAAGCTCTCTACAATGCAAGACGGTAAGACGGTGATATTCTACATGAAACAAAGGTATGAGGTAGAAAACGGCAAAGCAGCAAGAGTGGTACCGAGTGTTACGTTCTTTACTCCTCGTTATCAAACCCAAAGCGGAATGAATAATAATTTTGAAGGAGGTACATGTAAATGTCGTACTGCCAATGTAAAGCTCTCTACAATACTAGGCAGCAAAACAAATGTAACAAGACACTCAAAAAATAACACACCCTCCAGTTTATGTAAAGCTCTCTACAATACAACACGGGAAGGCGGTTATATTCTACCAAATACAACAAAGAAGATATTGGGTTAGGACAGTCATGCATAAAGCTCTCTACAATACTAGATCCGCGCGAACATTGTATCCCTCGTTGTTTAAAACCACCCCTAAAATATACCTTACTTTGAGGTAGAGATGCAACGTCAACACTTTTTATATAAAACACAAGCAGAGACTAGTAAAAACAACATTTCACAAATTTTATTCTGTAAATATGCACATCTACATTTCTACCCACCAAGAAGCAACCCGTGATTACAAAACAGTTTTCATGTCAGTATCAACCCTGACGGGGCACGTGATTTTGAGAAATCGCACGACAGGTTGAACCTGTTTCGTTCGAAAGTCTATGTGCGTCTTCTGCACACACCATTTCCATAGTCTTAATCCACCACTTCATGCATACGACCTTGTCCGCCACGCCTGTATAAAAGAATCCTCCTCCGGGCTAGCTGTCTTCCCTTTGAACCATTTGTTCTGGCCCAGTCCTGAAAGAGTCCATCCTGGCGTAGCCGCTTTGAGCATTGCTTCAGGTAACAGTAATTCTGGCTTAAATCCGTCAGTAGCCTCCCTAGGGTTCCCCCGCGTGTCTCCGGCTGCGTGTAATTCCCGAACTGTCTATCACCGTTTCTCCTCCATTCTCTCCCTGTTGCGAAACGGTAATTTTTGAATCCACATAATATTGGCTGGGGAAACGTTGGATACCATGTTTCCGGTCCACAGACAAGCAAGTGTCTTCGTTTCCAGAGTCCTTTGAGGGCGATACTTCTCCTTTCTTATTGAAGAAAGTTTACAATCTTTTCTCCATCGCTGCGTCTGATCATTATACGGGATCGCAAACGTAGCAGCAGGACATCAAAGCTGTAATGGAGCACTCAAAATATACAACCTCGCTCTCGGGCAGACGGCATTTCCAACTACTTACTGCGCGCTGGGGTGCGATACCTCGCAAACACCATCGTAGCGTTACGTCGCAGAAGAATAGGTGTGTGACCTACAAGCGCATCGCCCCGCTATATTGACGGTAAGGGGTCAAATCCCGGCCCTGGACATAATTATACCTGTTACATCAAACACAGTCGTTAGCCGGCTGCGAGTACCTGTCAGCGTAAGCTAAAAGCGGGCTCTGGACAATCTCCCTTGTATGGTTGCCTTCAGTAAGACCGGTTTTGACGGCCATGATGGCGCAAAGAAAAATCGACAACATTCCTACGAAGCTCTATCAACAAGCCATTATTTTTCCCTCGTCAAAAATCCATAGCTCTTAAAGTTCTCGAGTATATTCCTCTTCTTGGCATTATCATACCATCTTGAAAACCATGGAATCGTTTGCAAGCGTGTTACTTTTACTGAAATGACTAACTATATCGCCGTTAGAAATACCTCGAGATCGCCAGCTACCGAAATATAAACCAATGGTGACCGCAAGCTACTGACGATATTAGACTTTGCACCACGAACTCTGTTGTAGGAATAATGCAAACGACCGTATTTTGTCACAAAATCGTGAAATTCGGCCATATTCGCGTGATCTAGTACCGTACGGAGTCGTGCATGTAATCTTACTGGGTGCCTCTACGCTTAAAAGCGAGCCAGTGACTTCCCCGGTTCGCATGTTCTGTCCGTGTTGCAAAATAAACAATATAGGATATTTCCCAGTCTCTTCAACCCGACTATTTTATTACCACACACCTCTTCCAAAGCATCTCTGCTACTTCTATGCCGCCATAGTTGTTTTAAGGAAAGGAACCATTACTGACCAAACCCATTCCAAAATCTCGACCGTACAACATTTTAGAAGGGGATATGTAACTCGTCCCTCGTCTACGCCAGTGTATAGCGGCATTTCTAAAGTGATCAAATTCCTATTACGCTGTCCAGCCTTCTATAATTATTATTAACGTCAGAGCTCGGGGCGTTGGCTTTTCGCGAAAAATTTCAATTCTATGCCGACCTTTACCAGAGCTCTTCGGATCGCGATGTGACATGTCGGCACTCCAGTAGTGCGCGTTAAATCCCGAACCTAAACAATGTAATTACCGTCTAAAGCACTCTTTGGGAGTTACTGTGCGTGGAATTTCTCCTGAAACCCCTGTATTTCTAAAACAGCTCTAGGTATGTCTGATACATCCGTGTAGAGTCGGGTTCAGAAATTCGACGGTATGGCATCTTTTGCCTACCTCCTGAACGTTTACTTTAACGACTGTTTCCGATCAATCCAAAAGGCTGGAAATTAAAAGGATTTTTGTTCGAAACCCACCGAAGGATTCGTTGTCAACGAGACCGAGTACTCATTCTTTTGTAGGAATGTGGACCCATTATTAAATGTTCGGAATTCATATTCCTCTCAGGGTATTTGGGGGAATATGGGTGTGCCATAGTTTTCACCTGGGCTAGCGGGATACTTCGCGAGGCCCTTCCCACGTCAAACCTCTTAATATGGCTATGCCTCCTAATAAACGGTGCTACGCTTTACTTGTCTGACATGAAATTCCGGCTGAGAGTATATAGCGAAAGCATAACCCGGTATCGCGAGTACCGTATAAATCCGTGGTAATTTGTAACATATAGAAGTTATTCGAGGCTCAATACATGAATTCGGATTTTAAGAAATTTTGCCCGTCTATGAGGTGATCTATGCTGCATGAACAAATCCAGGAGTGTAATTTTCCAACGAGTTCTAAGGGCCTACTGGGCACACATTTTGCCAGCGTCGTTTCTGAAGATGCGGGTTGGAATCTGCATTGCCTAGAAAAAGTTAAATTTAAAACACTTCTGCCTTTATCTTTTACTGAAATTCTGTGCTACCAAATTGTTTTCTGTTTGCGATTCGTCGCAGCTCAGTGAATGTTTCTATGTATATGCGCTCTGTGCGGTTATGTACCCAAACTGTCTGTTAATTCTGGTTGATTAGGAGGCCGCTATTACTCTCACCTCCCCGGAAATAGAGAATGTAAAGTGGCTGCTCGCGAGCTTACACGCGTCTCGTGCCTGGGCCGGCGCGATCTCCCCATCAGCGCTCATCACATTGTCAGCCGCATCTGTAGCATTCGACCATCATTCCGTCTTAAGTTCGCCTACAATTCTCAAGATAACATTCGGCCAGAATCTACGCGTAGCTGTTTATAGGGTTGCTGCGTATCAAACCTTATGCGATTTTGTCAACTGCCCGGAGGCCTGTAACGTGGCTATATTTGGTCCAGTGTGGGAATAAATCATCATTGGAAACCATACCCGGTAATGAGAAAATAAATCCAGTTAAGCTTTTACCACATTGCTTGGCGTGTTCCATATCCCTCGACATCGTGATGGATGGTACGCCGATATCTCTACTAAAATGCCAAACGCCTCTTAGACTTTCTCCTACGCTTCTTTCTGCTCAGGAGGGGATCCAACGGCCGGAATTCTCTCTTTTACGGGCGTGATTTTTTTACGCAGGTGTCACAGTACCCGTTACTCAACGAGTCACGCCTTTATGGCTCGACGTCCCCGATGGAAATGATCCCAAAACACCTTTCACCGTGCTTTTAAGCGCCCTGCTACCTCGTCGTTTATGCACTTTCTGACGCTTTTGCACTACTCCGTCACTTCGCGTCGCCCACAACACCCGCAGCAGCCTTCTGGCCTCCCTCCTCCTCAATAGTATTTTACCCGTTGAAGCTTTAGCAGGCATCGCTATTCTACCTATAAGCGCCCTAAAATATTCACCGAGGTCCAGCATCACCTTTGACCATAATGCCTTACCCGTACACCGTTATGTGGATTCCCGTACATCACTTTACA